TGCCTTGGCACCCCCGGCTGACCTCACGGGAGTGGTCATCCAGGAGGAGGTGGCCCTCGAGAGAAGACGTGACTCCAGGCTCTGAGTCTGGGCCTCCCCTCCCTGGCCGGTTCCCAACGGGGAGGGTGCTGCTCCCACCGTTAGCTCCGGCTTTGCTGAGTCCTTGGACCTACCATAGTGTCCAGTGTGGCAAATCCACCCTGTCAGGGATGCGTGCAGGGCCTGCATCCCAGGTGCTGAGCGTGCCAGGCCCATGGGCATCCCAGGTCTGGGGGTGTCAGACAAGAGGGAACAGCCTCTGTGAAGCAGCCCCTGCTGCCCGGTCCAGCCTGGGGGGCCCCAGACGCCTGGCCGTGCTGCAGGCTGGCTAGAGGCCCTCACACCCAGACGGCTGCCTCGGGCCAGGGACGTCCTCCAGCCTCATCTTCGTGGGGCTGGGCACTTGCCCGTCAGAGCTAACCATGACCTCCGAGTTCCTCGGCCAACCCGAGACGGGCTGGGCGCTGGACTGGGGCTTCCCAGGACCTGAAGCTGCAAGAGAACAAATGGAAGGGAGCCCACTCTGCATGCCTCCCCTTCACCAGTGCCTCGTTTGAGGTCAACAGGCTGGCCGAGGTGTCGGCTCCTCAGATCCCCACAGGAGGACAGCAGGGCTCAGGGGCATGGCTGCAAGGCCCTCACCTGATCCCTCCAAGCCCGCAAGGCTCAGCCAGGGCCAGCCAGACCCAAGGGCCTGGGTCCCCGGCCCGTCCTCCCCAGGCAGGGGTGCGGTCTTGGTCCTGCCGCTGGCCTGGGGTAGCTGGGACTGTGGTTCCTTAGCCCTGTTACCCGAAGACAAAACTTCATTGCTGGAGTAAGTCGCACAACTAGAGAAACAGCACTTGGCTGAATTTCAGACCCAGAATGAACTAGAAAAACATTTAAAAAAAAGAGAGAAAGGATTCCCTTCTTAAGGTCAAGGTACACTCCATGAGCAGGGATAATCCATAGCCGTGACTGGCCTCTGTGTACGGGTGTCTGTCCGCCTGCCCAGGTTGCTTCCGTCTCCCTGCTGAAGGGCGCTGCGACCGCAGGGGCGGGCTGAGGGGCTGCGAGCTTTCCGCGGTTCGGCATGAAAGCTGCACAGCACCACAGGCCCCCGGGGCCTCAAGGTTTCCACTCTCCAAGTGGGCCCAGGTTTTAACATCCACGAACCATACAAAAAAAAAGGTGGCTCATTCACAGCATCGCCTGCTCCATTTGGGGGTGTGGCTTAAAAAACTCCACTCAAGTGACCCTTTAATCTTAGGGCATTAATATTTAATCAACAGCTTTGATTGCATATAAAGGCAGTTCAAGGGTATATTTTTACCTTAAGGTCTAATAATTTAATAACACTTACTGAACCTGCATTTGTATTAGATCCCACTCTGTTTTAATATCATGTTGCTCTAAATAGGGTCCATTTTTAATGGGGACCAAATAGTATTTTTTGGTTCTCTGCCTTCTTCTACAAACCACAGGGCATGAAGGTGCTTAACCAGAGCTCTTCGATGAAGAACAACAAAGCCGTAAAGATCATTTCTATCAGACAATGAGAATCACCTGATTGAAATTTTCTCTCTGTCGATGATGGTGTCACCGCAAGGGTCATCATCCCCCTTTATGGGCTCAGATCAGAGATCGTGCTGTAGGGAAATTCCCAATTGTTCAGAAAGCAGCTTTGAGGCAAACCCTTAATATGAAATGTCAGGAGTACATTCTAATGCTTCAGGTGCCAACCTGCTGTTCATAGAGTTTGAAATTGGTATTAATATTTTAACTTAACACTTATAGGATATTTCCAAGTCTCAGCCATGCTTAATTAGCTGACATTGGGCATCCAAGTTTCCATTATGTAACTTGCATTCTTTAGATATTGGTTTGTTAACATTCCCAAAAGGAGAAGGAAGTTACTAGAATCTCTATCAGCTCTAAGGGGAGGCATGTAGCCTCTGAGTTGCTCCGTAGTTCAACCAAGTCTGTAGTCCAGGAACTTTCTCCTACATTGTGGTTTGGGGCAACACAACTCTCTATTCTCTTTAATTGCTTACCTCATTACAAAGCTTCTACTTTGTGTTGTGATGTTTTTGGGGATAAAAATTTAAATCTGTTCCATAATAATGCGCCATATTATAAGAAGATTCTGTTATATTTTCAACATAAACTCATAGTTTTGTGATTTTCACTTGTTTCTTAACAGATCAAGTATGTTTTGTAAATATCTTGCTGTTGTGGGGCAGAATATTTTCTGTATGTTGTCATTTAAGGAACTTTTTTTTCTTAAAAATCTTGAAAATCAAGATACAGAGCATAGGAATGTTTCCTTTTTTCTTTAAGGAATTAAAGAAATCTCTAGACATTTTTTCTCTGAGATCTCCATGCTGGAGCAATACCAGCTTCAGCTGACTCGTGTCCCAATTTTATTTACAGCTATGTGCGTATGTTTGTCTGCGTGCATCTGCGCGCCCATGGCTCCATCTACCATCACCTTCTGAGTCCCCGGGGAGTCCAGAAGCCTGAGCGCCGACTCCAGTGTGTTAGACCCCCTTCCACAGCCTGTCCTTAAGGAGCAAAGCTTGATTTTTCAGGTGATGGCTCTACAGACAAACGATATAAAATTATATTAAATGTAATCACCATCTCCTTTGTGCACAGCAGATCCTGAAAACGGACAGAAGGAGTGGAGCGTTCCTCCTTGGCAAATACACATCAGGGCAAGGGCAGCTACTACGATTTCCAGGGAGAAAGAGGGTCTCTTTTCCTAGGTAATCTAAGGGCAATGAATTTTTACAAATTCCATATTTCAATTTCATCTATTATATTTAATATTTTATCTGTTTATTTCCTTGCTCTAAAAGCAAATCAACTGAGGAATTTAAGAAACTTATAGAGGACTGTGAAATTACAGGTAGAAAATTGTAACAAAAACACAGTTGTATCTAATGGATTCTGTTTTTTATTGTGATGATTTAATATCATTGTTAATTGCATTTTGGTATAAACCATGCAAAATGCCTCTCAGTGGGTTTCAAGATTTAAGATTGCCTCATCTGAAATTAGCTCACAGATTTGTGTCAAATTTTTAAACAGGCCACAACATTACATCAAAGAATGGCTTTTCCCCATATTCCATTATAACCTGAATTTTCAGATTGATATGTAGTTTACAATCTTAGTTACAGTTTTATTTAGTTAAAGATAAAGATATGAATAAATATCAGCCTAAGCAGAGAAATAGGTATAAAAAATATAACCAGCTATTGACTGTTTTTTAGGGCTTGTCTTAGTAAATAAAGTATTGATCTTTCCTATTTGGGACTTGGGCTCAATTCCACATTCCACTCCTCGGCGAAATGGATTCATTGGTCTAGGCTCATTTTTAGCAAATAGTAATCCACTTAACAAAATACGAACTGTTCATCTCAGCCAGTTTGGTGTTTTCTTTAGGAGAACAGGTTCAGAGTCTTCCATGAAGACCCAAAGAAGTCATCTCATAAAAGTATGATTTGAAACCATCTGCCTCCAAAATGCTTTTTTCCTTCATTATTTCAATAAGCATCACACCCCTGTCTTTTTCTCCAGGAATTTTTTGACCCAGAATTGGGCTGCTTTTCACTGACTGAGAAACTTTTCTGTCACACCCTCGGTGGTGTTTATGTTTTCTCAAGCTTTTAGCTTTTCTTTTGTTTTGGGCTGATAAACATCACTTGAAAGGCAACAATGTGGTTAGGAGATGCTAAAGCAAGCAGCTACTCGACCTCATGATTGCTCATTAGCTAATCATGACCCGGACGAAACTTAAGAATCTTTGCAGCCATAAGAAATGCAGTGGCTTGTATCTATCACTATAATGTATTTTTCATCAGTAACTTAGTAAGCGACAAATATTTACATGAGTTTAACAAGTTTGATCTGGAAAAAAATTTCTGGAAAGGGAAAATACCAAGTCATGAGAAATCAAAAATCTTAGTAGAGACAAGATTATTTTTACTGGGAAATAAGAAAAAAACTGAAAGGCCACAATTAGCAAAACCTTAGCTATTCGTTCTCAGAGGCAAGATGCCTGGTTCTCTCTCCAATTAAAGCAAAAACGCCCACCCCATGAGAAACGCCCGCCAGTGGCAGGGCTGCCCACGGTCCTTTGGGCGTGAACGGAGCCCCGGCCCTCTGGCCAGCACGGTGGTGCTGTGCATCTGAGAACGTGTCACCGTTACCACCGGGGGATGAAAAGGCCAGGAAGGTCTCTACAGCCTGGGCTCGTTTACCGGGAACTTGGTGCCAGTCCCTCCACCACATTCCCAGGAAGGAAAAATTCTCTGTTTAGTGCAGTTACCAAGAAAGCCCAAGTTAGGGAAATGTTTGTGATTTACCGCTTGAAATGTTAAATTCACCTTAAACAGGCAAGTTTACATAAAGTGCTAAGGACTATGCTTTAACAATTTTACTACCCCACTGAAAAATGGTGTTAATTACTCTGAAATCCTATTTCTATTTTCTATCAGCTGCGGCGCAGGTTCACTGGACTCTAATATGTAGGATCTACACTGCTTAACCTGCTAAAGATGCATCACACATCTTCCCAGCTTTCCCAAGTAAACAAGTGACATTCACTTAAAACTCTTGACTTTTACTAAGAACTGGGGGGGAAGAGGGAGCGGAGCGGAGCCCTCTTCCTCTTTATTTTGGTAAATCTTCCTAAAGTTCAGAATTGCTTCCTCTCCAGGAGCCGGTTGAGCGGTTGAAACAGTGTGTCTTCTAGGCAATCATGGAACATATGGCAAATAGCTTTTGCTCTTTGGGAGCAGAATTTATATGCTCCTACCCAGTATATTCTCATGAACAACAATGAGGATTTCTTTTTTAAAACAAGTGTAGAATAGGCCCTGACATTTGAAATAACTAAAGGTAGATTCCATTGAGTGTAAATATCCAAGAGTGAGATTGTTCCTGCATTCTGGTTTTAAGTGTGGTCACATTATTTGTTATGCATTCAATTAAATTATAGAGATTTAAAAGTTTTTCAACTTAAGGTTTCTAGAAATTTAAGTGTCATTCCTGACATAAAGCGAGCTTGTTCCTGTCACCAACAGCCATACATACCATAACCCAGAAGGCAATCTGGAATCTGTGGCAATATATTTCCTTAATTTAAAAGCCAACCAAGTATTTAGGAAATCAAACCAAGTTCTTACCAAACAGAACTCTACACTTGTATATGTGCATAAAATATACAGTATACATTTTAAATCCGTTTCATTTATGAAATGTCTTTACTTTTTTTATTACTGAATTAAATGCTTTGCTGTAAGACTGTTTGTATCTAAATCCACAAAGTAATTTATTTTATGCACACCTCAGCTTCACCTACAGAAAGAATTGGAGTTTGTCATGATGCCAAACAACAGATTTTCAATAAAGTATCAGATATGAGACAATGTGGTATAGACGAGAGACATACACTTTCTCCTCAGGAAGAGGTAAATGCAGACATTGACCTTTGGGGCTGTGACTTCACTCCCGCCTCGCAGCACCAATGTGCTTAGAGCTCATTGTGACTAGCAGAGGACTCACACAGATCTGGAAAAAAAAGTTACAGAGTGTCACAATCATGTTAATACCAGCCCGTAAGTCATGACTTTCTGCAAAAAACACATTCTTGTGGAAGCACATTTTAAACACGCTTTTACTACAGAAATTTTCAAATATACAGAAAAGTAGAAAGAAGGGTAAAATCCATCCTCTTGTACCACAAACTCGGTCTCAACATTGGTCAGCACTCTGCTGTCCCTGTCCCATTGCCAGTTTTCCTTTCTGGAGTATTTTAAAACAAAGTCCAGGGACTGCATCATCTTGCCCGTGGCCACAGGAGTATTTAAGGAATACTTTCAACAGGGGCAGAGTGCATTTGACATCTGATCCAAGGAGTAGGGGAGCAAGGAGATGCTTCGATACATACCACTCTTCCAACTGGAAACAATTAATGTGAATGCTCTTTAAAAAGACTATGGATTATTTTAACCACATAATTTATTTAAAATAGGAAATACGCTGGCTTCTGAAAATAATGATTTTGTACCTTAGAATTTAATACCCCCATTAGTGTTGGGAAGTCAACACAAAAGGTAATAAAAATGCTTACTTCATCTACAGGCTAACCATTTCTAGATACTTGATACCTTATTCTATATGTTGCATTCAGAGTGATCATGTGACTAGCTCATCAGTCTGAAGTTTTTAACTGCTAAGGTTTGATCTCAAAGCAGAAAGTGATATGTATACAGAATATATTTATGTTTTTATATTTATATGCTCACACAGTCTATCTAACCAAATACCTCCACAAACCTGGGACTTTCCATTCATTTGCATCTAGAGTGATGTGTTCTCTATCTTTTAATCATGACCTTCTACGTTAAGATTTGAAAACATCATTTTGGCTTCAAGACAGTAAAATGACAATCTGGAAAAGCCTGGGTTACATGCCACAAAATATTCCACCAGGAAAAGCTAATGAACTCGCTTTGATTTTTTGCCTAGGAAAAAAGAGATTACATAGGGACTGACCACCACCGTCAGCCTGGCTCAGACCCCAAGAACACCGTGCATTTGGTAACTTTTATTCCATCCAGTGAGTAAGACTATAGAGGCCTCCACAGATCTGTCTGCAACCCGATAGCCTGTCACCGTGGTTTCTTTCCTTCTTCAAAACGATGGCACATGTTTATGAAAATGTCACTGCCGTGTTATTTTTAAATTCACTCACAGTCATCTTAAATGTAACATATGTTTTCTCCATTATTCCCTGCTTATTTGTTTGTGTGTAGGGGATGAGCCTTAGAATCTTAATATTTTAGAGAGCCATACATGTGCTAATTAATTAGATGTGAGATCCTCTCACAATGTATACATATATTAAACCACCAGCATGTACACTTTAAATATCATACGTTATATGGTATTTATACCTCAGTTAAGTTGAAATTTTTAGAAGGGTGTGAATGTGCCCTAATCTGTTTCTCTGTAATTATTAAAGTGAAATGATCTGTGCTAAGTAGGAAAAAAGCAAAACTTATACATACATAGACATATATATATATATATATACAGAGAAACATGTATATAAGGTGTATATAAAGTATAAAAAGGGACTAACCTTCCAATCAAATCTTTAGTTCTAGAAAAATCTATTTTAAAAAAAAACTGATCTCCCTAAAAGCAATATATTCGATACATACCACTCTTCCAACTGGAAACAATTAATGTGAATGCTCTTTAAAAAGACTATGGATTATTTTAACCACATAATTTATTTAAAATAGGAAATACGCTGGCTTCTGAAAATAATGATTTTGTACCTTAGAATTTAATACCCCCATTAGTGTTGGGAAGTCAACACAAAAGGTAATAAAAATGCTTACTTCATCTACAGGCTAACCATTTCTAGATACTTGATACCTTATTCTATATGTTGCATTCAGAGTGATCATGTGACTAGCTCATCAGTCTGAAGTTTTTAACTGCTAAGGTTTGATCTCAAAGCAGAAAGTGATATGTATACAGAATATATTTATGTTTTTATATTTATATGCTCACACAGTCTATCTAACCAAATACCTCCACAAACCTGGGACTTTCCATTCATTTGCATCTAGAGTGATGTGTTCTCTATCTTTTAATCATGACCTTCTACGTTAAGATTTGAAAACATCATTTTGGCTTCAAGACAGTAAAATGACAATCTGGAAAAGCCTGGGTTACATGCCACAAAATATTCCACCAGGAAAAGCTAATGAACTCGCTTTGATTTTTTGCCTAGGAAAAAAGAGATTACATAGGGACTGACCACCACCGTCAGCCTGGCTCAGACCCCAAGAACACCGTGCATTTGGTAACTTTTATTCCATCCAGTGAGTAAGACTATAGAGGCCTCCACAGATCTGTCTGCAACCCGATAGCCTGTCACCGTGGTTTCTTTCCTTCTTCAAAACGATGGCACATGTTTATGAAAATGTCACTGCCGTGTTATTTTTAAATTCACTCACAGTCATCTTAAATGTAACATATGTTTTCTCCATTATTCCCTGCTTATTTGTTTGTGTGTAGGGGATGAGCCTTAGAATCTTAATATTTTAGAGAGCCATACATGTGCTAATTAATTAGATGTGAGATCCTCTCACAATGTATACATATATTAAACCACCAGCATGTACACTTTAAATATCATACGTTATATGGTATTTATACCTCAGTTAAGTTGAAATTTTTAGAAGGGTGTGAATGTGCCCTAATCTGTTTCTCTGTAATTATTAAAGTGAAATGATCTGTGCTAAGTAGGAAAAAAGCAAAACTTATACATACATAGACATATATATATATATATATACAGAGAAACATGTATATAAGGTGTATATAAAGTATAAAAAGGGACTAACCTTCCAATCAAATCTTTAGTTCTAGAAAAATCTATTTTAAAAAAAAACTGATCTCCCTAAAAGCAATATTTGGACACTTGAACAGCTCTCAGTGTATGTCCTGCACACAGAGTACACCGGTTAGAGCTACTGGTTAATGCAGTTTCAAAACCTCTGATAAAACACACACACAGCCCTATCTTTAGAACATCATTTAAATTGTGGAGATCAATCACAGCACGTTGTTTACAACAGAACAAGATTAAGTATCGCCTTTACAAAACAGGGCGAACCTCACGTTACCGCAGGAAACTCACTACTTGGACTTCAGACTATGTTTGAAAGCAGGGGAATTTTCCTACAACGTGACAGTCCGGCCTTTAACACGGTCATCTGAAACCACCATGTTATGTTAGAGCATCACTTCACTGTTGCTGTGTCATTAGCCTCCATTCTCACTGATGCGTCCCTTTCATCTTTTCTGCAATAATCTTTAAGTTTGAGAAAACTCTTGACCTTGCTATGCGATGTTAACTAACTTCAACAGCAGGGGAGTTGTGGGGAGGTGGGAAGTCTGCTCTCACTTTAGCATTAGCTGTTGTCTCAGTTCTCAATCCAGGAAGGTCTGGAATGTGCCCGAGTATGTTTCATAGAGAAACATAGCTGGCAGGACCCACTGGCACCTCAGGATGTGGCAGCCATGTGACACCTGAACCTTTGGAGTGGTTACCTTGTAACCTCAAGAGCTCTGAGGCACTGGTATTTATCGTAGGGACTCAATAAGTTTTAAAAAAATTAAATGCTATTAAGATATAATTACCTAATCATGTTTTGTTTTATACTAGTTATAATGCACATATTTTATGCTGTACGCTTATATTTTTTTGAGGTTAATGTTAATTTTTATTTCCAACTATAAATATGCAGGAGGAATGAAAAGGAACAGTTAAAATTACTGAAAGTAAGTCAAATTGCTGCATTAACAAATGGAGTCATTTTCCCAGAATCTTATTATTTGGGGCAATGACTGCCGTGGAGCTGGTGAAACTTTCTCAGGTCCTCCTGTAATACCTGAGCAGGTGCTCAGCTGTGTGCATTTGCCACAGATAACACGACAAGTCCAAACCCTTTCTGAGGAAAAATACAGGAAAACAAGTATTTCCAATATTGCTCATTGCATTTTTGCTTCTATCTTAATGCATACATATATCTCTGAATTATTTTAAAAACTTCAAAAATACCTTCCTTGGAAAATTGCAGCTATGCACTTATTTATGTGAATTTCATTAATTACAACATTACATATCAATGAAGAGAGCTCTCAACTCCTGAACAGTCCTAACTGTGCTATCTCCCTGCCCTCTCATTCTTCAAACTCCCAATCAAATCAGGTTTTCAACAGAAAACAACACCATTCTCTACAATTTTTTCATGTTAATAGGCATTTACAACTTTTTGGTTTCATAACTTTTAATGATATATTTATCTACAAATGTGCAGCAACTACTATTTTAAGGACCTTGGCACTAAATTTGATATCACGGATACAGGTGAGTTATACTTCATTCCACATATTTGTTAAATGCTCAATGTCCCAAGTTTCCACAGTTGCTGAAAGTACTTTAAATCATTGTCTTCATATGTATCATTCATTTTTTTCCAAAGACATCTGAAGAGAATGCACAATTTGCACTACATTCTCGTAAATGTATTAAACAAGTATCAAAACGACATTCCAGGAAAAGGCCTCCATTCAACCCAGCAGACGGGAGGGCCAGTGGTGGTGACATGTCTCAGCTCTGTAAATAGCAAACAAAGTTTCAGCAATTTTTTTCTAGATTCTGAGTGTGTGTGTGTGTGTGTGTGTGTGTGTGTAAGAATGCAGGTCAAATGTTATCTCCCACCCTCTACAGAAAAAAATTTTTTTAAGTAGTAGATATTCTAGGAAAGGAACTTGAAAAAAAAAAATCCAGCACCCCACCTAAGTAAACAAACAAAAAACCTCCTCAAATTTCTTGTTAAATAAAGATACCACTTTCTGGTAGTAGAGGTACTAGGCAAGTCAGAGTCTCCTCTCCTGGCCCAGGATGGAGAAACTCATCCCAAAGCTAAGAGGACGTGCTCTGGAGTGAGCCAGCCCTGCCCGAGCCTGTGGCCCTGGACAACTGGGAATCTGGGAGCTCTGAATTCATTTACATGTGGAGGAAAGGAAGCGAAACAGGAAAGCCACACAGCCCAGCGGTTTTGTTACACGTTTGCTCTCACATGGTGCCCTTTCTGATTCAGCGGAGAACCGTTGGTGGCAGGGAGATGGCGAGGCTCATTTGAAAACAAGCTGCTGCGGTGCTGAGTGGAGGAGAGGGGTGGGCGCCGGGAGGGCACATGTTACATCAGACACAGTACCTGATTTTTCGCTGCACAGCTTGTCAGCGAGGTGGTGTGCCTCCTGGGCGATAAGAAAGAGTATCTCCTCTTCATACTTCTCTATTATAGTTTCGCACTGCAGAAACATAATAACGACATATGTGGATAGATACGCACGCACAGCATCTTATTAGGCCTTATCAAAATTTTATTAGCTAAAAATATAGAGTCGTGTTACCAAGGTGGTCCATTTTTATTAGCAATTTTGGTTTAAGACATCACTGTGTTGGATTAAGCCTCTCCCAAGAATGCTAATTGCATCATTTTCCTGGGATTTAACTGATTAGTCGCGTTGAAAGATGAGGGCAAAGGAAAGAAAATGGTTCTTTGGGTTTGTTTCTCTTCCTTAAAACTGGAGTGCAAGGAATAGGGAACTGGGTCTCCTACTGATGGAGCTGAAAAGTCTTAGCTTTTTGTTTTGTTTTGAGAACCTTCTAAAGAACACAGCTCCTTGCAATGGTTAAACCAGTTTCCTTCAGATTTAACATAATAGTCCATTTGGTGGCTTTAAAACAAGGTCTGGAGTGTGAAAACAAGCTTTCCCAGCAATCAAAAGAAATGCATCTTCAATTTCACTGTGGACAACATGCTTGACAACTACTCAGGGAACTTCTTTTTCATAAGGTCTAGAGATATATCCATAATTTCACTCTGTATCCCTCCCGGAAATCGGACTTCTCAGAGAAGAGGAGCTCCCCTTTGCCATTGCGTCTGAAAACCTTACATTCTAGCTGGAGACTGGTCTGCTCAGAGAACCACAGGGCTGCCGCGTGGGGAACTGGGAAGCTACGGGAGGCGCTCACCGGAGACCCGCGAATCACTTTCTGAGTTCAGTAAGCAAGACTCTAAAAATTTTAAATGGCATTTAAAAATGTTTAAATTCCACTGTAATGTGTTTATTTAAAACCTATGAAATGCTAGCACATTTTACTCACTGCAATTTTATTCCACGGTACTTTTAACCCTGAATTATTGCTTTTACCTTTTAATTAAAATGAAATCTTCACAACTCAGCTAAAGCCCTATTTCAGGGTTTCAGCATGCCTCACATTTTGGCAACGTGGGAACTTAATACGTTTTTTAAACAGGCTTTCCCATCACTTTGCCTGATTCAACCACGTTAAGTAAAGTGAAACATATTGGGATGTATTTTGCCAGGCACATTCTAGCAAGAGAGAACCCAGCATTCGTGTAAAATAAACATTACAGTGGGAGGAAATTTGGCATTAAGCCAACTATCATACCTAAGCCTTTGTTTAACTTGGTTTGTGCTAAAATAGTTTAATTAACTCAAGGAAAAAACCCTCTCCCTTCTGTGAAGCCCTAGAAGAGAAAAAGATGAGGGTCATCACTCTCCCTTCATCATTTGGCTATAAGTATTTGAAAACGACCTGCATTTTAGTTTGGATTTTAAGTTAGGAACCACGGCCCCTGCTTTCCTTGCGTGGGAGCCTGTGAGCCGTGAGCCTGGGTCAGAGGACCGAGCAAGACCCCTCCAGTCTCCTCGCAGGGGCGGAGTGACGCGCACACTTGGTCTTAAAGTCACTGCGGTCTGCAGCACTTTCTGGAAAACACCACCTAAGTGTCTCCACTGGGACGAAATAGCACATGCCCCTGGGTGTCTCAGAAGGCAAGTCCCTAAACGCACAGTTAACCCTGGAGGAGCAGCAGGACCACAAAGCAGACACCATTTTCACGTCCGTTGTCTTGAAACTCAACAGCAACCGAAACCAACAGCACAAACGGGCGCCCAGAACGTGTTCCCGGGGCCGGGGCTGGTCGGCCCAGAGCGGAGCTTACCGCGAATCTCAAAGGTCTGTAAGCATCAGAGTGAAAATAGAATTTCTTAAACTCTTTGTATGTTTTGTCTCCTTTCCTCGGAGCGAATCTCTTGAACGTCTTCTCCCGGGTCACCGGGTCTTCTTCAAGCTGGTAGTGATTCATTCGCTCACACACTTTCTCCAAGAGGTCGGTCAGGAAAGCCTCGGACTGGGACAGGGGGACCTGCGAAGACAGCCGCGGGAGGCCTGCCTCAGTGGGCTTTCGGGGCCCCGCCGAGGGGGGCGCGTGGAACCCGCACCGCGCGCCGCCGCCCCGGGACTGGCTCCCCCGCGGAACGGGCACGGGCCGCACTAGCCGCGTCCCGAGAGGCCGGCTCCACCTCGGGCTGCTCACAAGGGCGCATGCTTGCAGGTGGACAGACCTACTTGTGGTCAGAGGGGAAACCGCACTGACACAGGTAATCGTTTTGAAAAGTCACTCGACATGCAGAATAAGGCGCTGAGCACAGAAAATGGCTGTTACCTATTTACTTGCCGGAGGCGGGCAGGAGGGGGAGAGAGGCGGGGAAGGGAGGGACGGCGGGGAGGCCGCGGGGACCGCGCGCCCGGGCGCAGGGGACGCGCCAGGCGCGCTGGGCGGTGGGCGCGGCGGCCGGGGGCCGAGTCCCCGTCGCGGGCGCGGCCGCCGCCGTGCGGAACAGCTGGTGCCCGTCTCCGGGCGCCCCTCTCCCTCCGCAATCCGGCGGGGATTCAGAAGACCCCTCGGCCGCCACCTCCGCCCCGCGCGGGGGTCAAAGAGCACCCCTCGCCCTTGGTAACCGGGACAAAAACTCGGGGGCCGTCTAGACGGGTCAAGGTGCAGGCCGCCGCGGCCCCGCGGCTCCTTCCGGAAGGGGGCGGGACCCGCCAAGGGCGCCGGGACGCGCCGCGGCCCCGGCCGCTGCGGGCTTTCTCTCCCTGCACCCTCCGCTGATCAAAGCAGGAAGTTTGCATGACAACCGCGGTGCAGGGGCTGAATCACAAATGAACTCGGTTTCTGCGATGTTGATCTATCCAGGCTCCTTTGTCCCCTTTCAGACGCAGTGTGAACCCTTCCGGTGCCGGCGACCGCGCGGCATTCACATGCGCGCTCCGGGCGCACAAAGGGTCCCCGCGCCTCCCGCCATCTGGCCGCGGGGTTCGCGGGCGCGCGGCGGGCTCGGGCTCAGACCCGGCCTCCGGCAGACCGCTCCGGGATCACCGCCGCCACCCCAGTTTCAATAAAGAATCGACTTTGTGAAAAAAGTTTATCGAAACGTGGGAAGAGGAAAGAGCAAAAGACAATCGCCACCAGTTAACTCCGGACGCCCCCACCCTGTGCGCCGTGACAATGTCCCTCCTGCTGGAGCTGAGATTCATTCTCAGCAGCTGTCAAGGCCCGTGCACTCAGTTTTGCAGTCAAATCGTTTATTAAATCGGAATATACCACAACATGTATTTATTCGCTTAAATATCAAGATTTTAAAAACTCGAGTGTTTAATTTTTTTAAAGTCTTCGGCCAAAAGACCCTAAAGTGGCTTAAAGTGCATTCCAAATACAAGTTGCATTTTATTTACACCTTTAATTATGCCATCCAAGCATTGTAAGTTGTAAAAGGAAGACACACGTTTACCAACAAACCAAAACTCTGTTTTACTAACTTACAGAAACTAAGGATTGAATATGTACTGGGACTGAAGCGTTTTAAGACTCAGAGGTAAATTCTTAAATTGCAGCTCACCAAGCAGACATTAACGGAATGCGTTTTCTCCTGCCGGCCTGTGCTTTTAGTGTAGTTCCTGATCTGATGCTGTGAAATGTATCCATTGTACTTTCTGGATGTCAACAAAGCAGCGTTTTACTTCAATGGGAAGAGTGGACTTTCATTTACAAGCTCTAACGGGAATCCAGAAATCCGCTCTTTCTCCTCCCTTCCCTCGTCTTCCCCAAACGCAAAAGTAAACACTGGCCTGCGCTGGGGGGTCCTCGCAGGAGGGCTGGGGGGCTGACTGCTGGAAGAGTGTTTTTGGACCCTGCAGCTTCCTGCTGACACATCCCAGGAGTTCGCCTTGAGACCATTCTGGAAACAGTTTTTTCTAAACTGACCTAACCTTCTGAGCTGTGTGCAAAAATTGCCGAGCATATATGATTTGAGTGAATCACGATGTTAATGTGTGAAAGGCTCTCCTTCTGTTTATTTTCTGGGTTGGCATTTTTAAAAAGCAGTCCCCCCATCACAAGTTACCACCAAATGGGATTGTTTGTCTTATTTTGAAAGTGTAAATTCCGCATGTTTGAATGTAGTAGTATTGTGCCTCTTTTAACACAAATATGTTATATCAAGGGATCAACATGTGTATTTTCTTGACTTTATAAGTCTTTGAAAGCTAACTGGCTTTTTTATGTTATTAGCTGGCTCTTTTGAGTAATAGGAGAGCATGTTAGCTGGCAGATAGTTCAGAAAATACTACATTACAATCTCCACTAAAAACAAGGAAAAACACCCAACATGAGACTAGTAGAGTTCATCTTACCGAAGATTAAAGAAGCAATTGACACAAAAACCCTAATCAAAACATCCAATTTTGAGAAAAAAAGTAAGAGAAAAATGCTTATACACGGTAGCTTTTTATATACACTTATTAAAATGCACATGATAAGAGTTTTAAATGATACCACTTGGCTGAGCTACCAGCAGTAAATTTAAAGACTGTTCACAGAATAATTGACCCTTTCTCTCCCCTCAAAGTGTTGGGATTCTAAGAGAGCAATAAGTATTGGGACAAGTGGAATAAAACTAAGTCTTTCTTTCCATATACGAAGATTTTGAATAGTACTTGTCAATAAAGCAACTCCTATTGTAATCTTAGGGGAGAGTCGCCTCCTCCCTAGAAGGAGGGTCTCAGAGATACTAACCTCATTAAAATATGAATGAAGACGCCGCCATCATTGTATCGGGAGAAAGCCCATTCACGGGCGCCCGGTGTTCCATCAGCCATTACTTTTACACGTGGACTCATTTGGTGGAAGTTATAAATATAAAAATGATCCGTTAAATTTCATTGCTACCTTGGAGCACCCTGATCAAAGTAAATCCTAGCTTTTCCCATTTTGAAACCTACCTACGATTCTAAAATCACACTTAGCACAAATAATGTCCTTTTTCTCCCCTTTAGGCTTCTTCTGACCACGTGTTTGTTATGTGAGCAATGCAATGGGAGTGGGAGGAGGCCCCATAACCCAACTTGAAAACCGAACAAAGTAGTTGAAAGTTTTGGCTTTGGTTTAGCTGGAAAACCGGAGTGAGGGATTTTATTCCAGACTGTGATCATACTTTAATAACAGTCAATTACAGGGAGCTTCCCATGTTCCTTCATTACTGTGTGTCTGTTAATCTTGTAGCAAATTTCTTGCTTGGTGGCTATCACAATCAGGCCGGGACACAATTAGGTTACAGCGAACAATCGGATGTGCAAACTGCCGTGGTGGTGTATCTGTCTTTTTCATAACTGTTGGGAAATCTCAAATAATCTCGCTTATCTGTATTGTTATTTAGGGTGTCCTTCAGATATGACACCCATATTAAACCTTAGTGACTGATAATTAATTTCACATTGTTGCAAAGATTTTCTTTCTAGAAGTTTAGTTAGTGTATAGATTTGCATTATAGCAAATACTGCATCTAATTTAATCACTAACTTTTCATTCACAGCAATACTGAAATCACTTGGTATTAGGTAAAAGTCAATATTTAGAAGCAAAGATTCAAACCTCCTTTGCTCTAGGCCACAACAGGGGAAGCATGAATTCAGAAACTCTTGTAAGTCGATGAGATACAAAATTAGCTTTTATTTTAATTGACTGCTATGAGTTTTTTGTCTGACGCTTCTTCATATAATATGCAAATAGCATTGACTGCTTAGTTTTATTAGACAATATAATTAGAAATCTAAAGGAGCTCATTTCATGAGGAATTATAAAGGTTGATAAATTTTCCAGTGTTCTGTGTATCAGGAAAAGATGACTTCCATCTAGACTTAATCAATAAGACAGATTTTAAGCAGCCTTTGTTTAGAGAGCCAAAGCCAGCCAATAACGTAACAGAATTAATATTGGTTTTTCCCGTTAAGATATATTCAATATTAAAACGGGTGAATTTGTGCAATCGATAAAACCTTGGGGATAAAAATACAAAGATTTCAGCACAATTTACCACAAACATGCAGTAAATTTATGAAAGTAACATCAAAATGTCGCCCCCTTTAATTTGAAGAGTCATTCTTATTGCTTAAAATATTTTGTAGGTGTGCCTGTTCTTATTCACGGCCATATTATATCATAGCTTAAAGTATATACTCAGGTGGTGAGAAAAATATAAATAATTAAATAAGAACAATGTAATTTGGGGAAAATTTTTCCCAAAACTCTCAAAACCACTAAAGTTTCAATCACATTTTTCATTCTGGAGCCAACTTTCAACTTAACAGTGACAAACAGAATTAGAGAAAAAGTGTGTGATGGGTCAGCATTAATGAACTCCAAATGGGGGTCCTCTAAATTTGACTTTTACCTAAAGTTGAACAAGATACACTTTACTTTCATTTTTAAATACAAAATTGGCGCTGCCATTTGGTTTCCTATTTTAAAAAGTATTCTGTTAGTCTTCAAAAAAATATTTGAGGTAAAATGAAAACAAACACAATTATCTGCATTAAATTGTTATAACTTTTTAACCTTTGTTAAAAATCACTCTAAGCAAAGACCCTGGGCACCCTTCCCACACTGTGTTTCGAGCTTTGCCCTCCACTGGCAAACCCCAGAAGGATTTTGAAGATTTTTTTAAAAAGTCATAGAAAACAGAGCACCGTAAGCCAGAGACAACAGTCCCACAGTAACAGGGTGCGGTTGCTCATTCAAACAGCAAACCTGTGTGGAGCGTCCTCTGTGTATCAGCAAGTACATGTCTCTAATTCAGGCATTTCTAAAGGGGACTCTTCCATAATTATGAATAAAACTTAAATGATACTTGGAAAAGCACCTCTGCCTGGTAGAGGTCCAATAAATACTAACTGATGAAAATATGGCTCCTTATCTGTCTGGAGCTAAGTGAAAGAGCACATAAATGCAGTATCTGCATCCTTATTTTACAGTTTTCTGCCCCTACAGGAGTCTGCACGTCTTCTCATCTTGCTAGAGAACACCTGCTGGCGGACAAGTGGTTCTCTGTTTCTAAGCCTCTGTAACGCCCTTTCCCCAAATGGAAAAGGTGAGAGGCACGCTCGGGGACCGGCTGTGGCTCTGCCCAAGCCGCGGTCTGCACGCCTGCGGGCCTGTGGAGAGGCTCCCTGGGACAAGGTTGAGGGCAGCCCGGGGGACAAACAGCTGGGCGTCCCGCCCCCGTGGGTGTGGAAGCCACGCATGCACACTGGGCCCCGCTGGCCAGAGAGGAAGCTGTGTCTTTCTTTAAAAACATTTTTTAATGGAAACAGTAACATATTTACTTGATTAAAAAAAAGAAATCTAAAAGGAACAAAAGGGCACAGTGAATGTAAGGCTGATACCTACCCCAGACCTTAAGGCCCTGTTCTGTCACTGGAAACACTCCATGTGCACGTCTGTGTGTCCATCTGTGTGTGTATACATGTGTGTCTGTGTGTCCATGTGTGTCCACGTGCATCCGTGCGTCCAAGTGTCCATGTGTGTTTGTGTGCCTGTGTGTCCATTTGTGTCCATGTGTCCATGTGTGTCCATGCGTCTGTGTGCACATGTGTGTCCCGGTGTCCATGTGCATCCATGTGTCCATGTGTGTGCATGTGTGTCTGTGTACGTGTGAGTGCCCCTCCTTCTTACACAGATGAGAGAGCAGGGCACACGCGCTATCCAGTGCATTTTTCTCATTTGGGGATGACGAGGTTCAGTGAGACCCAGGAGCCCAAGGACCGCCCACTGACCTGTCCTCGAACGAGGCACAATTACTATGAAGGCATCAAAACTTAAATTTGCTCCCATGAGAGAGTCAAGTGTGCCGCCCACCCTGACAGCAGGTTCGAAAGGAGCTCCTGGCCATCGTGA